GACAAAGTATATGTGAACTGCTGTATGAAAAGTGAATTTACTCTGTAAATCTTCACCCAAATCCTAATAAAAAAAAAAAAAAAAACAGACATCTGCAACCTTGCAAGTAAAAAGCAACTTAATCCTTTCATATATAGAGATATAAATATGTCAGTGTGATCTTTTAGAATTAAAAGGATGAAAATTCAGGTTTTCCAATAAAGATACCATCATATACCTGTTTCTTAGTAAAGGCAGTTCAGTATGAGACAGGAGAAGGCAGGGCTGAATTATGAGTAACACGTCATGTGAAAAGAGAGGTTTAGGCAAAAATTCTAAGCAAGTAGCCAAGGCCTTTTGATACAGGGGAGAACAATAAGGTGCAACAAGAGGCTGTAGTGGAGCCTAAGTGGTGATTAGAAGAGCAAGGCATTATCATTACCCATCTTATTCTGCAGGATTTCAACATCCTTTATATCTGCTCATTAATGCAAATTAACTGGTTAGTCTCGGCCTATAACTCCTCGACAGCATTAATCTTTAAATCCTGCTCGCCTTGGTCCCAAATGAGACAGCTACCACAGCCCACCAGTTTCAGGTAAAGAGGTTAATGAAAGATCTGAGCCTTCTCACACTGGTCTGGATGAAATCAAACTGGAGGGAATCCATCCCTTCTGGAGAGTAGAGAGGGCAGCAGTTGTTTGTTACAAGGGACCAAACTAATAAAATCAGTCAGTTTTACATTTTACCAAAATTACCTCTGACACATGGGTTTTACAGTTGGGCTTATTCTATCAATAAATTTTTCATGGAAAGTTAGGTTATTTAGATCAGCGAGGTTCACATAGCATACTCCAGCTGTAATATACCAGCTAAATTGCAACCCAGTGGCCTGAAAGAATTAATTCATCTCCCAAAATGTGAAATTAAATCCTAGGGAGTAACATTACATGACTGATGATGTACTGAATTAAATTAAAGGAAGACTTGAATGCTTGTTAAAAAAAATATCACTTACATAAACTAGTTTATAACCACATGTGAGCCCCCTAATGGATCATGTTATTGTGAATCCACCATAATGAAAATCCAAAAAAAGATTAGAGCATTGTTTAGGAAAACAACAATACTATTTTTTCCTATTTAGAGCTTTTTTTGACATGTTAAATAGTTCAAATTTTAGTATTAAGTTGTGAAATCAAGATCGAATTATATAAGATTGGATTATATATGAAGATTGAATTATATCTTGAAATATTAATCTGATTTCAGGAATTCAGATCCTTCATCAAATAGATATGTCCCTTTCCGTGTCTTTCACTCAGAATTTGATTTAATACACTAACATTCTAGAACTAGGAAAGGAAGCAGAACACCTCACCAAACACTTATGCCTGTGAGCGGAGTCTTCCCTGCAGTCAGTTGTATGGACATTTGCTGTTCTCTTTCCTGCAATATCTTACTGCATCCATTGCATGTTTTTGAAGTAGAAATTTTCTAAATACCACAGCATGTCCCTTGCCCATTGACATCTTGAGATGATGGCATGGACTCATTAAACAGCCTAGAGCCCTGGAGGGAGAGGCTCAACTTTGGGACTATCCCAAGCACAAGGACTGGTTTGCTTGTACACTGGCATTATAGACTGGCCCTTTTCCATGGTGGACCCTATTATTCGAGCATGAAATGTGCTCATTTTTTTAGATTTGAGATTAAATGCAAAGGGACTATGCCATTACACACAAAGCTCCTATACAAAAGAGAATGGCAAAGTAGAAGAATGAGAGGACAAGGAAAGTGGAGACTGCAGCTTTTCCATACCCAGTAGGGTGCTCTCGAAGGCCTTATTTCTCTTTGTTACTCTAAGAGGTGGTGAAGACCCCATCATGCTTTAAGGTGATGGAAAATCCTACAAATGAAAACTAGCTAAAATATATAAGTCCCATTTCTTATAATAGTTAGTCATTTTGACACTACCAGTATGTAATAGATGCAGATATGCATGTATATGTATATAAACACACACAAACCAAACCAAGCTCATCGCCATCCAGTTAATTCCAACTCAAAGCAACCACCATTGTTTCCAAGGCTGTACATTTATACAGAAGCAGACTGCCACATCTTTCTTCCATGGAGTGGCTGGTGGGTTCAAACCACTGACCGTTTGGTTAGCAGCCAAATGCCTTAACCTCTATACCATCAGAGCTCCTTGCATGCACACACACACACACACACACAGAGGTAGGTATAGACTTGGAGTCTCCATAAGTCAGAATCGATGCAATGGCAACAGATTTGGTTACGTGTGTGTATAAAATTTAATGCTTTACTCTTTGCAGTAGTTTTCTTTTGTACTTTCTTCTCTAACCTGGCTCCTCTCCTAGTACTTTAATTTATAGGTGAAAGTGCTGGGAATCACTGGATACTTTCTCTGAATCTCATTTCCCTTGTTGAGATTTCAGACAACTCTTCCCAAAGGCCAGCCTTGATCATATCATTTCCCTTCTCTGAAGCATTTATTTCAGCATCACCAGAGTAAGTTCATCTGCTGGTGTTCAAGACCTCCCTATGTGGCACTGGCTTCTAGTCAGTGTGGGCTGCCCACACTCCTTCTCACCCAAACCCACCTTACACACATACATGATATCCAACCCTCTTCTGGGTATATCCTCTCTTTAACAAAAACTAACCAAAGCTGTCAAGTGGATTCTGACCCATAGAGACCCTATAGAATGCAGTAGAACTGCCCTATGGCTTCCAAGGTTGTGCTCTTTACTGAAGAAGGTTGCTTCTCCCATGAAGAAGTTGTTGGGTTAGAACCACTAACCTTTCAGTTAGTTGCCTAGTGCTTCAACCACTGTGCTACCAGGGCTCCTTATCTCTCTGTACTCTTCTTCAAATCCTCATTCCTCAGATCCAGTTTGCATCCCCACATTCTCCTCAGATCCTTCTGTGAGTCCCAGCGCTGTCTCCGGTTTCTGAACTTCTCTTCTCTGAGTCTGTACTGACCAAGTTACCTGGCTCCCGTCCTTCACTTGCCTCGTGCTCCTCCTCCCGAGCACATGGAAAATAACCAGCACGTGCTTGATTCAGCAACGCTCCAGAAAGGGATCGATGTTCCTTCCAAACTGTGTAATAAAATCTTCACTGAAATGTTTGCTTACTTCTTAGCATGCAAATTGTTAGAACAGGTAGTTATCCTGTGAAAAATTCAGCGAATCCTGAATCCTCTCCCATCACTAACCATCAAGTCGGCATCTGGGCACTGACTTATTACGGTAAACTGTGATGCTCCCTTCCAGGCTCCGACTGTTTGGTCTCTTCATACCCACTAAGCTATAGCAGCCTTTTCTAAGTTACTGGAAGCATGAGAAATGAGGTCACAGGCTAATGTTCTCTGTGTTGGTATGTATATTTTGCTTGAAGGGCTTTTTCTCTTTAGAGAAGTGTTTTTTTTTTTTTTTTTTTTTAACTAAGGACTTAATAAATAGTTGTCTGAATATAAAGCATAATTTCCTTTGTAAATGCAAATCAATACTTATTTCCAAAGAGGTACAAGTGGAAAAATACTTAGCGTATTATTGTTCAGTGTTCCCATTTCAACCTGGATTTTGCGTTTAGGATTCTAGGACTCTTCATCCGTGGCGTTGAAGAAAACAGCAGGTCCAGGAGGGAGGGACTGTTCCATGAAAATGAATGCATTGTAAAAATCAACAATGTGGATCTTGTAGACAAAACCTTTACTCAGTAAGCATTTTTTTTCCCATTGTTTTACTTACTTTATTGATTCCCAGAATGTATATAATCATTACTGAATTCATTATGGTCAAAGTTATAGGTCGAATTTCCTGTCAGTTCCCTATGAATGACCCCGGAACATCCATTTTCCAATGAACTTTATATCTTAGCACACTCAAAGGTGGCCTGCACATGTCCCTGCCAGCCCCTGGTGTGTTAAACCTCAGAAGATAACATCCTTTCTGCCTGGTTGTCACATGGGGACATTTCTAGATGGGTTTGTTTTTCTTAGGATATGGGTCAGTTAGATGGTATTTAATGACTCTCTTCACAGACTGTTAGTTCAGCTTATTAATTAACGTTGGTGGTGTCACGGGTCTTTGCTTAAACTGAAAAATCTGTGAGAGAGATCTGTGAAAAGTCAATGAGTAAGAGAAAGCAATACCGAAAAAAAAAAGAACTTAAAATATTCTGCCTCAAAAAATCATCTATCTGAAAATTTTATGGGAATAGGTTCCTATACCTAAAAATTACAGTGTGTAGCAGTTTGATACACACACACACTGATGTTGCAGGGTTTCTGGAACAAGGAGGTAGGTATTAATGCTGCTTAGTTACGATCACCAGCCTCTGTTGTTTTTAACCAAATCAGCTCATGGTGTTTCTCTCTGTGGTCACTAATTAAGAAATGAAGCTTTAAAAGAGTCTGTTTCTTAAAATGATAAAATCATAGACAAAATTATAATTATTAATAATGATTTTTAAAATATATAACACTGTGCATTTTTACAAAGATTTAATAAGTATGCACGGCAAAAAATTATACTTATTTTGTAGAGGTGGAAATGAAGGTGCATATAAATTCAGTGACTTCCCCAAGGGCACACAATTATTAGGGACTAGAAACCAATTCCTAGTCAAGCAAAGATAACGAAGGGAGACTGACTAGAGGAGTAAGACTGCCTATGTGGAGTCTTCTCCCTTCTCCCCAAAAAATGTGGGGAGTTGAGTACTGTAGTGGAGGGTACTCGAACACCAGTTGCAGTTATATTGTCATTATTTGATATAGCTGCTAACAACAGAGAGCTAATATACCAGCAGCTTAAGCAAGATTAATATTTATTTTCTCTCAGAACAAGTAAGTGTAGAGATGAGCAGTCCAGGGTTAGTATGGGATCCCCAGTCATCAGGCAGTTAGGTACCATCTGTCTTCTTACTTTGCCCTCCTTACCATGGGGCTAGAGTCTTTAAGTTGTTTTTATGATCACAAGATGGTTGCTGGAGTTCCCTTTATCATTTCTGAGTTCTAAGACATTGGAAGGAAGAAAAGAAGAATAAAGGTTTATGCCTTCTAGCTAAGCCAGCCTCTTTTAAAGGTCTTTCCTTTAAGTTCAGTTTAACCCCTTCCTTTACAACTTACTAAGTTTGGAAAAGGCAGTTGTTTTCCCTAGTTCATGGGCAGACAGAGGCAGAAAGAACAAGAGGGGAAGATGGATGTGTATATGAATAGCTATATTTTATTATGTATTGTATTTTATCTCGGCAGGAAGGTTGGGCAATCCTACTTCCGTAGTGATACTGCCTCGGAAACCCAAGGAGGGGTCGCTATGAGTCAGGTTGACTCGACGGCACATAAAAACAACAACATTGTATTTTATATTAATATGTATGCATCTATATTCTGTATTATAGATTCATATAGTATGTGTGTGTGTGTGTGTATATATATATATATATATATATATACACATACACACATACATACCCAAACACACGTATATACGTGTAGGTTGTTGTTGGTTATGTGTCCAACTCATAGTGACCCCTTCTTGGGTTTCTGAGGCAGTATCACTATGGAAGTAGATTGCCCAACCTTCCTTCCAAGGAGTGGCTGGTGGATTTGAACCGCCAGCCTTCTGGTTAGCAGTCAAGTGCCTTAGGCACTATGCTACCAGAGCTCCTATATATGTGTGTATATACATGAAATTATATACATATGAATACCATGGAAACAGGTAAAAGCATACACATTTATAAATTATAGGCTTTTTTTTTAGGAAAAATCAAAGTACTAGGACAGAAAAGTAAAAAGATGCAACAAATCATAATTTTTCTTGATGGAAAGAAACAAAGTACTTTCTGATAGAAGGACAGCCAGGAAGCATGTTGGATTGATTATCCACTGTGACATTTAGGCATAGCCAAAGCTCCTACTAAAATGTCTCCATGAAGAAACATCTGTGTTAAAATTAAACTTCTGGAACACAACCCATGTTAGAGAAGACCTGTACTTTAGAACAAAGTCCTAAAAGAATCTAATTGATAATCCAGTCAATAAAGTGATTTTTTTAAAAACATTAAAATTAAAGCTTACTTTGCATTTACTTCAGTAACCATGTCTGGATAGATTTTCATATTTAGAAATACTTAAAAGCTGTGGGTCATTGGGCAAAGTACTTAGTATCTCTGAACTTCAATTTCCTCTTTAACAAAATGAGAGCTAAGTTTAGCTACCATGCAGGATTATTAAAAGAAAATTAAATGAGAGAATTATTCATGTTAATAATGCATACCTAGCCCAGTGCGAGACACGTCAAACAACATAGTGGGCAGGTAATAAATGGTAAGTAGAATTTAGTTGTCATGCTACTCCTCATTGCTGGGATGCTGATAGAATATAGAAAGTGGCTTGCCAGACAGTCTGACATATATTTTATCTCTTTGAAGAGCTCAAGATGTCTTCCGTCAGGCAATGAAATCCCCAAGTGTGCTTCTCCATGTGCTTCCACCCCAAAACCGTGAAGAGTATGAAAAATCAGTCATTGGACCTCTTAATATCTTCGGTAACAATGATGGCATTTTGAGAGCAAAGGTGCTGCCTCCTGCCCATGGAAAACCGGGAATAAAAACAGTAAATCAGACAGAAACAAGTAGTCCTGAGGCAGAAGCATCACCTTCCCTGCAACCAAACAAGAGCCCCCGAATCTCGAGACAAGGAAGAAAGCCATCCTCTCCCTCGCTCTCCCCTCTCATGGGGTTTGGCAGCAAGAAAAATGCAAAGAAAATTAAGATTGACCTAAAGAAAGGTAATTATTAAATTATGCTTAATGGCATTCTATTATTGTAACATGTAAAATTGGTTAAAAGAAATGCATTAAGGCTAATTTAGTTAATTCTTCCTTCATTTAATTGTATCAAAGAATAGATTTAAGGATATACTTAGATAACTTAAATTTCTTGAACTTACACTACTTTCTTATCCTTCTAAAGAGTATAGGTTACTTGAAAAAAGAAAATAAAGACATGGAAGCGGAATGGCGTGGAAATGAAAGGAATCGTTGCAAACCTGATAGAAATGCAGTGATACTGTGTTACAATTTCACTTGAAATCGCCACTCAGATTCAGTTGTCCCCTTTTTGAGCATGATTAATGATTTTTTGAAGCATCCTTTAGGCCAAGTCCAAAATCATACTACTTCTGGTTCTCTAAAACAGTCTTAAATCAGCAAGAAGTTTATTCCTTGAGAAGTAACTATGTGATGATTATGAATCTTGCTAATTCAACATTATATACAATTTTTTTAAAGCATACTTAATTTCAAAAATATATTTGATATTTTCTCTTTTCTTATTTCTTAACTGTTCTATCCATTTCAAACAGATCAGTGAGACTGGCTCATGTACGCAAATGTGTATTTAGGCAATATGATAAACACAAACTAACAATCATTTATGCACATCCATGCTTTTGTTCCTTTTGTAACCTCTGCATGATGTTTCTTTCCTGCAGTGTAACCTTCTAAAGTCCTGTGTTTTCAAGTCTCAATTCGAAAGAAACCAAGATGGTCTCATACATTCCTGTCTGAATTAATAGAGCATTTAATTATCAAATGTAGTTTTAGAATATCTGTTGACATATATTACATACATGTATAACACGTATCTTTAATTAGGACATAGACATTATTTTAGAACGATCCTCTGATTAAAATTTGATTCACCTGTAGGTATTCTTTACCGGGGGTGGGTGGTGGGGTTGGGGAAGGTGGGGGGTGTTAATATGTTGACTGGGAGGCACAAATACTCCTGTGTACTTAGCAATTATCTTTCTTATTTAAATATAGTTGCCTTTTTTTTAATAAACATCATCTGGCAATGTTGAAGACAGTAGGATGAGTGCTTTGAGGATATAAAAAGATGAATTGGACACAGAATGTGACCTTAAAAGTCATGTTTGCTTGCAGAATAGAGATGCCATTGCCAGACATTAAAATTATTAGTAGATGAAGATATTTCACAAGACTAGGATCTTGGATCAAAAAGGGGGACACATCATGGTATTTGAAATAGTGGTGAGAGTATGTGTATCATGATATCTAGGAAGCTGACACCATGAAAAGAGACCAAGGTCAAAGAAGAAGATCTATTCTCTTTCATAGAGAGATGATAGCTGTAGCTTGGAGCTGACCAAGGCAGAGAGTCTAGGGGACAAACTGGACTAGGATAGATCCCTGGGACACATTTGTGTTCATGTGGGAGGAGAATGGGTAGAGTTAGAAAGAGTGACAGACATGACATGATCAGAGATATAAGGAAATAATCAGAAAATAACAACCTACAAGCCAAGGAAGGGTAGAGGTGGAGTCAGTTCCAAACAGTGATTGATGGGAAGTGTCAAAATTCAAAAAGGTGAAAGATCAAAGGTAGGAAGTTATTGGATATGGTCCTGGGTAGGTCATTGGGTGATAGAATCTTTAAGAAGCAGTAAGATTGAAGTAAGCATTCCTTTAGGGTGGAGAAACCTGAGCAGGGTTATAGATAGTATGAAAAATGAGAGATGGTAGATGCAAGAAAGTAGGGCAGGAGCAGCAAGAGTGAATGATTGGACAATGGGATGTGGCAGTCCAAAGGACTGAGGCACACATAGAGAAGGGAGTGACAGGTTGACTAGGTGATTGAGAGTTTGACACTGTTCATGTCAGATAGCTTTTTGCTTCTTAGCAAAGTATGTAGTTTGGTTATGGTTTATTGAGAAATCAGTATCATAATAGCATTATAATGTATGCCATTTCTTTTAGGACCTTAATAAACATTTTTTACACATCTGTGTTTGACTCTAAGTTCAGTTTGATACCATCATGGCATGCCAAGAGCTATATCTGAATTTGAACAATTGAAGCATATTCATAATTTCCTGGAAAGTAAATATTTCACTTATTCTACATTAGTCTAAATTAGATAGATTTACTGTAAGACTGAGTATAGTATTACTCATGCTTATAGTGACCATACATTTGACTGGTTTTATATTCTAGGTCCTGAAGGACTTGGTTTCACTGTGGTTACCAGAGACTCTTCCATACATGGTCCTGGGCCTATTTTTGTGAAAAACATTTTACCAAAGGGAGCAGCCATAAAAGATGGCCGTCTGCAATCGGGGGACAGAATTTTGGAGGTAGGAATTGGAATTAATGTCTTCAATAAAGTAGTGGTTGGCATTTAAATAAGTAAGTGTATAAACATGTACATATATTAGTATTTATATTTTGAGTACTGTTATTTCTATCTAGCTTTATCTATTTATCTTCTAGCTTATCTATTTGTCTAGGTATCTATTCTATCTTGCCAGCCAGACCTGGTGGTGCTTTGGTTAAGTGCTTGGCAGATAACTGCAAGGTTGATGGTTCAAACTTACCAGCTTGTCGGCAGAAGAAAGAGACAGCAGTCAGCTTCCATAAAAATTAGGCCTAGGAAATCCCATGGACCAGTTCTACTCTGTCCCTTAGACTTGCTTTGAGTCAGAAATGAGTCAGTGGCAGTGGGTTTGGTTTTGGTTTTATTATTATTATTATTTATTTTCATAGTAAGGGCCAATTTACTTTTCACTAATAAAGACATAGAAAGGATAAGGACTTTAGTCATAGAACTAGCTAATGAACAGCCTAACTGCCAATAAGGTCAGCAATGTAGGGCAAAATAATACTGAAAATTTCTCTCTGCATTTTTCATATTCTTTCTTTTATCTCATAGGGCACCTAGAAACTTAGATCAAATCCAGAACTTCATCGAATATTCAGTTGTTGTTGTTAGGTGCTGTCGAATCTGTTCTGACTCATAGTAACTCTGTATACAACAGAACAAAACACTGCCCAGTCGTGTGCCATCCTCACAATCATTGCTATGCTGGAGCCCATTGTCACAGTTGCTATGTCTGTCAATCTTGTTGAGGGTCTTCCTCTTTTTTGCTGACCCTCTACTTTACCAAGCATGAGAGAAGACTTTCAAAGTTATGTCCAAGCCCTGGTAGCAGTTTCTTTAAACTTCTCTAAGCATGGGTCTGTCCTTTTCAGGTTGATCTGCATCACCTGTGCTTGGTGGCAATGGACTCAACTATAAGGGATTTTACACAGGGAACTATTTGGAATACTCAAAATAAGAGAGGTTATTTTAGTTTAGTTTTTCATTTATTTTTGTTTGATAGCATGATCTTGACTACATATATTATTGTCAATTTATCTTTCAAGCAATCATCTTCCTTGAAAATAGTCTGGTTCCATTTCATTCTCTGGTGGCATGGAAACATAACTTTAGACTTTTAGTTCTGGGTCATAAAGGGAGATGGGAGATACATCAAGTGACTAATGTATCTCCAAATTAGAATTTCCAATAATCTATGATAATCTAAAGGCTATAATTTCCTATGCATAGAGAGAAGACTGTGGAAATATATGTAAAGACATTTCCATGGGTATTTTCTCTGTGATAATGGTTCCTTTCCACTCATTGTATTAGGCAGAAATTGATGCCAGCTATGCATTTGAAATCCACTTCCTACCTATTGGAGAAATCATTCTCTGATATCGTTCCATTTGATTTTTCCCTGTAAGAATGTGATGTCTTAGAAAAACTGGTGCTACTAATTACTGACTCCTTGAGCTCGTCCAACACCTTAATAATGGTTGTCGATATATTATTGGTATTTTTAACATGGTTGGTTTCAGCCCACATCTTCAGTTCTCATCTTATCACAGCTTCATTGAATATAGGACCGTTTGCTGCTTACTTTCAGACATCATAGGGTAGAAGGAGACAGCAGTGTTGTAATAGTGTCTGTTCACACAATTGCATTTATTAGGTAAATGGCAGAGATGTCACTGGACGAACACAGGAGGAGCTCGTGGCCGTGCTGAGGAGTACCAAGCAGGGAGAAACAGCATCACTGGTCATTGCCCGGCAACAAGGAAATTTTCTTCCCCGAGAGCTGGTAATGTTCAGATCTCAATTTCTTTTCATTTTCAATAGAGACAAACATACTCAATGAATTCTTAATAATTGAGAAGTGTGTTCTAAACCACTGCTGAAGGCTTCATTTGTAAGAAAACTTGAGACAAACTGAACATGTTTTGCCCCATTCAGTGTATCACAATTCGAGGACATTGATAGACAGAGTTAGGAGTATGGAAATACTGCTTCTGGGATACAAATTGGAACACTTTCAAGGAAGCAGTTTATTAATAGTCAACTAATCCAATAAAATATGTATTGAGAATGTACATGTGTTAAGTCCCACGTAAGACACTCGGCAAAACAGTTTCTGGTCCTACCTTTGTGGAAATTATAATCTAAAATGAAATAAAAATATAGCCAATTATTCAGAATGGTGACAAAGATTATGAAAGGGGAGCTGTAGCATGCTTCTGGAAGAGATGACAAGGGAACATAGCCTGGCTTTGGGGTTGAAAAAGAATCTTAAGGAAGAGAACTTCAAAGTCTTATATGAAAATGTATACCTTGTGACCTAGCAACTACTGTTCCAGCACTCTGTCCTAATCTGATCATCAAAGATGTAGAAAAAAATTCGTGTACATTGGTATTTTTTTCTTTTTTGTTAAAGTACTATTTATTGTACTGACATACTAGATACTGTACATCCATAAGAAATCGGTTAATTATGTAGCTGGATAACTCTCCCATGAAATACTATAAGTATTTAAAATGGTCTCAGTAAAACATTGATAATAACATGAGAAAATTTTCATAGTATAGTGTTCAGTAGAAAAAGTAGATAAAAAAAATATATATATGTATGAGTCGGGTTTGACTTGATGGCACATAACAACAAGAACAAACAACAACATGATCAAATTACATTAAAAATATTTTTTAAAAAGAAGTGGAAGGAAATGCACCTAGAATGTTGGTATTATGAGAGCTTCTTATTTTATTTATTTATTTTTTTTTTTTTTTGTAGTGAACACGTTTTTTATTGAAATAGCATACTTTCAAGAAGACTATAGGAAATATATTGAAAATCCAGAGGGCTTTTATGGCTAATAACAAAGGGAAGAAATGCAATACAAGGACTTAAAGTTACTCCTTTAAAAATTTTTATTTCTTATGAATCTATCTAAGAAATGACAAAGCCATGTGTAGGTAATATAGTAAGTTCCCATCAGAATGGGGAGTGTTAGTTGAGAATTGAGGATTTACAGTGTGAAGAATAGAAAGTTTAGGAGACATCATCATTGTTACCAAACATGGAAAGAGTATTGTGTGGATTGGAAAGTAGACTTCATTTGTTTCTTCAGATCATTTAAATCCACTAATTCAATTATATATTAATTCAACAAACATCTATTGAGTATCTGTTATGTATAAAGTTGGAGATCCTGGCGATGCAAGCATAATTAAGACTCATTTCCTGCCCTCATTGAGCTTGTAAAACAAAAGATTGGGAGTGATAAAGTTCTAAGAACTCTCTAACTATTGGAGCTATCCAAGAAGAAAATGGGTTAATTAGAATATTCAAACAAAGCCTGTTTCACCATCTGTCAAAGATGCTCTAGAAAAAAAATCCTTCCGTTGGGAAGATGGTGAGACTAGGCAGCCTCTGCGATATCTCTCTGTACTCTGATCCTGTTATTTTGTTCTGTGTATTAATATTCATGTTTGAGTATATGATTCTACTGAATCACCTCTTTTACATATTACATAGCACTGTCCCAAAGGACCACCTTCTCTCCAAGGGGGTGTGGCATGGAATTTCCCTTAAAGCCTTTTTTCTCTTTCCTATCATCTTAACTACTTTTCCTTTTGACCTATCATAAGTTCTGGGAAGATTTTCAGTAAAAACAGGGGAAAGGATGAAGCATGACTGATATAAGCCATAAAGATTACACTTCCCATCCTGTTTTTCCCCTTCTTAAATCCTCCATGCTATTAGAAGGCATAACTAAACCTGTGTCTCTCTCACTGAAGCCCTTTACTCTTCTAAGGAGGCATTTGGCAGGAACCTGAACACTGGCACTTTTGCACTAAAATGCAGATGGATTCTTCTTTCAATCCTCTGTTTACCACAAGGTCTTGGTCTTTCTCTGCAAGGGTCAAAGTGGAAAGAAACAAAAAGAGGGGCAGGGTGGATATAGCAGGAAGCCCTTTCAATTCTGGTTCATTTCTTGGGTTGTTAGACATAAAGACTCTCAGAAAACTTTGATGGGAGGATATGCTGTTTGAGGGATTGTTGTTGTTGTTGTTGTTATGTGCCATCGAGTCGGCCCCGACTCATAGCGACCCCTCCTTGGGTTTCCGAGGCAGTATCACTACGGAAGTAGGATTGCCCAACCTTCCTTCCGAGGAGTGGCTGGTGGGTTTGAACCGCCAGCCTTCTGGTTAGCAGTCAAGTGCTTTAGCCACTATACTACCAGAGCTCCTGTTTGAGGGATAGGAAAATAAGAAATTTTGAGTGTGTGTTCTATAGAACTGCAGGCCTGGAAGGAATTAAACCTTGCATAGGAAGAAAAACAATTGGCTAGCATGTAAGTATGCAAAACAAAACAAAAAATTAGAAAGATCCAACTAAGGAACCTCCATTTCTCCATTGAAATGTTCCTATGCCCCTCTGCTATTTCCTCTAGAATTCCCAACTCAGCAATTAATTGCTTCTTTCTAGGAATTATATCCCTCCTCACTTCTCAGAAGGAAGGTTGGGCAATCCTACTTCCGTAGTGATACTGCCTCAGAAACCCAAGGAGGGGTCGCTATGAGTCGGGGCCGACTCGACGGCAAACAACAACAACATATCTGTAAAGAAGAAAGGGTTGCTAGTTTTTTCTCAGTTTGAAACTCTGAATGCATTTACTATCAAAGAAAATTGTATCTGGAAATAAGCAAATAGAAAATTAGAATTTTTGACCTAAAGAGAGCCTTTTAAGAATCAGTAAGTCCAACTCCAATTTTGAAGATAAAGAAAACAGAGAGTCAGGGTGGTTGAGTGTCCTGTCCAAAGCCCCACAATGAGCTGGGTCTACAGGCCCAATTTTCCTAACACTTAGCATTACCCTCAGGATCCCAACTGCGTGTGTTAAACTTCTCTACCCACCACTTACCAGCTGTTAAGTGCAGAGCAGGTCACAAAATCATTCTGAAGCTCAGTTATCTCACCTATATTATGAGATTGTTGTGAGGACTGAAAAATAGCGTATGCAAAGCTCTTACATGGTTTCTGGCCAATTCTAAGTTCTCAATATAATTTTTTTTTCCCCTAGTACATTACCAGTCCTGGAACACTGTAAATATAACATTATACTTTAAGGTCATTAGGAGCTCTGACGGCGCAGTGCCTCAAGCATTTGACTGCTAACCAGAAGGCTGGTGGTTCAAACCCTCCAGCCACTCCTCAGAAGGAAGATTGGGCAATCTACTTCCGTAGTGATACTGCCTCAGAATCCCAAGGAGGGGACACTATGAGTCAGATCCAACTCGACAGCAGTGAGTTAGGTACATTATGGACTAGAGAGAGACTTTTGCAGGCTGGCCTGAAATTAACAACCATTTTGAACTTCTCTCTCTCTTTTTTTAAAAAAAAAGTATTCCAAAATCCAAAATACGGACTTGCAAAAAGAAAATTGTATGACCAACCAAATCCATAAGTTAAGGCAGCCTATGTAGTATTTTACTTTCATTTAATAGAATTTAGAGAAATTTGATTTTTATCCCAGATATGACATCATAGGCCAAGCCCACCAAGGAGCATAATAAATTAATTATACAACTATGAAATTAAGAATATAGATAAATTATTAACTCTCATTGTTTTTAGTTTTATAGGAAATTTTGAGGGCATGTGGTTAGTATTCATTCTCTTAGAAATTTCTGGCAAATGCTCTGTACACTTTCAAAAAAGTGACATTCACTCATTCAAATATGTGGAATATTCATTGAAACCACAGCAAAGCAAGAGCCTTTGAGTCCTACAGAAACCTAAAGAATGTGGACCTAGAATCTTTGTTTGGAAAATATGCAATAGTATTGTTTTCCAGCCCATGTGGCTTTCTTGAGTGCTAAGGTTAAAGAACCCTACAGGAAGTTTAAAGAGAGGTTATGTTTGTCATGCACTGGAATGTTTTAATGGGAATTACTTCATAGTGTGGCATGCATTGGACTGTCTGAAAGAGCAAAATGAGGAATAGTGCTGTGTGAGACATCTTTGTGTTTTCCTTTCAGAAAATTAAGGGTGGTGTCACTTTGGTCTCTTCTCCCTCATTGTGATTGATGAACACACTTGACTTTCCATTGAAACGTGGCAGGATGAAGGAAGGACAGCACTTCCTGCTTTTGTCTTGTTCTATCTCTCCTTGGAAGAAAACAAACTGTGTTTATTGTCTTCCTGTTGTGGGAAACTGTCCTCTCCTTGTTGTCAAGCCTTGATTTTTCATGAGCTGGATACTCTCTTAAGACCACTGTGCTGCCTGTTTTCTGACAGTTAAATCTTCCTTACTTCCTGTTACAGTTAGCTTCTTGTAAAGTCTTAACACTTACATCTATGAGAGCATGTGGTCAGCAGTTATCCAGGAACTCTCAATATAGGATTGCCTCTAATGTGACCCTCTGCCATTCTAAAGGCATCCATTTCCTGGTCGTTTCTTCTGACTTGCAACGTAAAAGAGCTGTGCTCTTTCACTCTTATTTATTTATTTTAGCTCTTATTTGTTGGTTAGTATCTCTCTTCCTGAGCAGTGGTTAGCAGCACATTTAGCCAAGTTTCCTTCCATCTGTGGCAGGCTGAGAGAATTTATATAGCATCACAACCAGTTCACTCTTTCCACCTTTACCAAAAGAACTCTGCTTCAAAGATAGTCTTCCCAGAATCCTAGTCGGAAGACCTTTTGATGTCTTCTCCCCTGACTAGGTGAAAGTATATTAAAGATATGTTTATGTAAGGAACATTTTGCAGAAGGTACTTTGAGATTAGTGTTTGTAATAGAA